TGCTATTTTTGTGTTAAAATTCTGGGTTTTGTATTTTATTTTATTTTAAAATACCTGACAAGGGGACTACAGATTTTCATAAATATTATATAAAATTAAAATTAATATAGCATAGAAAGTTAAACTTATTTAAATTTGTTTGCTTCTTTTAAGTCGAGAAAAATAACTTTGAAGTTTAATTTAGCTTAAATAGCCAATTTTTTCACTCGACTGTAACAACATTCGGTTCCCGATATGGTATAACTCATGTTTTACACGCTTGGGGTACGATGTTTCAACCCGCGTATGGCAATGAATTTTTTGCATTTTTTCTTAATTCTTTTTAAGTTAATATAAATTTTTAACTCGTTTGATTTTTATCTCATTTAGATTCAATAACTTCAATAAAGATCAAGGATCCCATCACTTTAGTCGCCCCTTGCAAGAAGAAATTTCTTATTCGTATTAAAATTATTTTACTATATTTTAAGTTTTAGCTTCGATGCAAAGCTGAGAATATATATTTTTGTGATTATCATTTATTTTCTCTGCTCTAACTTGACCTATATTTTTCAACGATACGTTAAATGATTAAAATTAGTTACCCTCAAAAATTGAAAAAAAATTCTAATTTATCAATTAAACAGTTAGTTATTCCATGTTCTCCACAAAGACAATTAAAATCATTCATTTCTAATGTTTTCAAAGTATTTATTGACGAATTAAGTTTGATATGATAGGTTTCAACTACAAAATTTAATCATTTTACTTTGTAATTTAATAATTTTTTTACTCTATTTTTGTGTGCTACTACTAGACTATAATATGACACATTTTTTGGTAACATGTGACTATATAAATCATTTCTAAACAAAATGATTGTTTTTATANCCTGAATTAACAATTGATTTTTACAAATATAATCAAATTTTATAATACGCTCAATTGAGTAAATCTTTTTAACAACTTTGTTTCGGTTCTTTAGTTAAAGTAAATCATTAAAATTAATTAAGTTCTGAATATTTCACTTATAGAATCTTTTAAAACACCAAAAGTTACAAGGAAATGATTTCTATTATTTCTATTTAAGTTATCTATTACCATAAAAATGCATAAAAATATTGAGCTTTTCTGATAAATTTACAATAAATAGTAATTATAAAACTTTCTGACTGCATATTGATCTTAACGATACAATTTTTTTAATTGTCACAAAATTTTCTATTTAATGATGTCAATGTCAAACTTTCCAATTGAGCTAAAAGTTATGGTAAAATAAATTTTTTTTTTTTATTATAAATATTTACAGTAATCAACTTTAAACGATTAAAAAAATAGGTTAAATATGTCATTTTCCTTATTTTTAACTTATTAATAATCAAAATCAGTATTAATTTAAAACAATTTTTTTTGTTCTTAATTATTTTTTTTTATATGTAAATACTATTTTTTAATAATATTAAAACTTAGAAGTGATAGAAAAAGTCTAATTGCACATTTTAAAACATCGCGAAAAGTTGATTTAGAATAGTATATTTTTGTTTCTGATGGAAGTTCCTTGTAGTCCAGTGTATAAAACTTATAACTTTGTTAATTGTTATAACTTTATCAAAAATGACCAAATCAGTATATTTTTTTTTATTTAGATGCATGTCTTTATCTATCATTTGGTTTTTTTTATAAATCTAACCCTTTACCTGCCCACAAGAGGGATTCAAAATATTAACTTTTTTTTTTTTAGTTAAAGTAAATCATTAAAATTAATTCAGTTCTGGATATTTCAATAGTAGAATCTTTTTAAATATCAAAAATTACTTAGAAATGATTACTATGATTTCTATTTAAGTGTTCTATTACGATAAAAATGCAAAAAATAATGAGTTTTTCTGATAAATTTACAATAAATAATAATTATAAAACTTTCTGACTGCATATTAATCTTAAAAATAACATTGTTTTAATTCTCATAAAATTTTCTATTTAATGATTCATTCTAGTCAACGAAGGAGTAATTTTGCAGAATAGCAGAAAAAATTCCCAACAAACTTTTTTTTTTTTTGTTTTAATTAGGCAATTGGTGGATTATTCCAAAAGCAACATCAACTCTTATTTCTTTAATTATATCATGATTAGTAGTTCTTTGATTTTAAAATATAATATATGAATATATACTAATTATAATTATTAAATTTAGTATGAAATTGATATTTAATATTGTAATTTAAACGGAGAAATTATAAAAATAATAAAGAAGTTATATTTTGCTTTACTTTTACGTGTATAAAAATTTAAAGGGCTTGATACAATAATTATCAATAAAAACTGTTTGTTACTATAAATGAATGCACTGGACTACAAGGAACTTTCATCAGAAGCAAAAATATACTTTTCTAAATCAAATTTTCGCGTTGTTTTCAAATCTGCAATTAGACTTTATCTATCAGTTCTAATTTTTTATATTATTACTAATTAAATATAAAAAATGTAATTAATGTTTTTAAATTCAGTATGAAATTGTAAGGCCAGCTATGATGTATGGTTCATAGTGTTGGGCGGTTGATAAGAAAGTAGAGCAGAGAATAAGTGTAGCAGAGATGAGAATGCTTAGTTGGATGAGTGGAGTGACTAGAGAAGATAGGATAAGGAACGAGCATATAAGAGGAAGTATAGGTGTTGCGTCAATCGTGGATAAGATGACAGAAAATAGACTTAGATTGTTTAGTCATGTTATGAGGAAAGAAGAATCGAAAGCTGTAAGAACAGTTATAGAAATGAATGTTGAAGGAAGAAGAGATAGAGGAAGACCAAAAAAGAGATGGAGGGATGCTATTGAATGCGATTTGAGGACAGCTGATGTGAGCGTAGAAGATGTGGGAGATCGTGTCAAGTGGAAGCTTAGGATAAGGGTGGCCGACCCCAAGTAGTTGGGATTAAGGCAAAGAAAAAGAAAAATATTACCAGAAATTCCGGTGGCAATTGACATAATATGATTGTTGTTTCGGAATGTACAATTTAGCGTTTAGTTGGGTTTAAATAATATAGCGTCAAATCAATTACCTACTCTATCGGTTGTATCTTAATATACACTACACTTAAGTGTATATTAAAATACACTACTATAAAATATAAGATAATTTTTTTGTTTATAATTGTCTTTTAAACAACTTTTGTACGAAACTTATTTTGTAAGATAAATATTTTTTAACAAAATTAAAAAAGCTCATATTTTTGAACTTTTGCGAGGCTGTAAATAAAAAGCTCAATTTCAATCAATGAGGACTATTAGTATGTCATTATACATATTTTAATTCAACTATTAAAAAAACAAAATTTGGTTTGGAATTTTTTAAGAAATTTTTCCTTTGTTGACTGGCCTAGATGTCAATTTTAAACTTGTAATTGAGCTAAAAGTTATGGTAATATATTCAATTTTTTTTACTATAAACTTTCATAAATCTTTATCAAAAATTTTTCATCAACTTTAAAGAACCAAAAAAATAGGTTAAAAATGAAAATTTGGACTGATTATTTTTAACATATTAAAAATCAAATCAGTAATAATTTGAAAACAAATTTTTTTTTCTTTTAATTATTATTTTATATATATAATTAGTAATAATATAAAAAATTAGAAGTGATAGAAATAGTCTACTTGCAGATTTGAAAACAACGCGAAAATTTGATTTAGAAAAGTATATTTTTGCTTCTGATGAAAGTTCCTTGTAGTCCNAGGATATAATTAAAGAAATAAGAGTTCATGTTGCTTTTAAAATATTTCACCAATTTCTCTAAAGGAAACACTATCTACAGATTTGCATCGAAGCGTTTCTTATGATAGTGATTTTAATCACTGTCAGATATCATCTATACTTGTCCTATCTATGCCTCGTCCACACTGTGCCTCGACCCCACTGTGCTACCGTTTTTTTTTGTCTATTATATTATCAAGTCAAGCATAGGGGTTCACATTTTAAAAAAATAGTAAAGATTTTGTATCCCTGAAGAAATAAAAAAAAATTGTCTTTGTAAAATAATGTTGTTTTTTGAACCAAATAATTTTTACTATACAAAATTTAAAATGTTCAGTAGTTTCTGAAAAAATGAGTGTTTTACCCTGAATCGACCCAACCCAACCTGTACAAAAAAATGATAAAAAAACTACTTTTAATTAAAAAAAAAAAAATTTATTTTTTTTTTAAATTATAATAACTAATTTATTCATTAGTTTTTTATTCTAATATTTAATTATTGGTACCACGATATTTCAAAATCAAATCTTTTGAGACACAAATAGTGTTAAGTTTTAACTTACGTTTAGTTTTGTCTAACATATACTTGGAAAGCCATCGTTCATCTAAGAAGTTTTGCACTTCGTCCAAAAGATTTGGCCTAGTTAAAATGTTTGGCTGAAGAAATTTTCGAAACATTCTTTGAGCATTTGACGTTAAAAGCTTAAACAACTTGGGTCTTCTAAATGGACTCATTATACCATTACTTGTTAACCAGTAAACATAACTTACAAATCTAGGATCTTCAGAACTGGCTTTTTGCCACGGTAAGCAACCAGTTAAACAAACAAATAATACTACAGCAAATTGCCAAACATCATGGGAAGTATCTACCCTATAAATAAAATTTGATTTAATTAATTTTCAATACAAGTTTAAAAAGATATTTACACATGAAAAACTATTTTTTTTTAATCGAAAATTATAATTATTATAGCGATTAAATAGTTAAATTAGTTAAACTAATTTATATAGTTGCATCAATAATAAAGCAGAGTTAACTACATTTATTTACAGATTTAAACTAGATATTATAGTTGGGTCAAGTATACTTTATCCAGTTATTTATTATAACCAAATAAATTCATTGTTTAAACAATCCCTGAAAATATTAATATATTCATATATATATATAATTTTAGTTTCGATACGAAGCTAAGGGAATATTAACTTAATTATGATCTATTTATTTATTTATTTTTATATCCGTTATCACATTTCTCCGTTTTCACTGGAATTTCGCTCAACAACCGTCAGAAGATATCGAATCGTATTTAAATCAAAACATTACGCACATTTCCTATATTCGAAACCTCGCCAAAAAATATAATTTTTATAATAGGTTAATTTCAATTATTTTTTTTACTCAAAATTGCCATAATGTTTTAAAAAATAAATGAAAGAATACGAACATTTTTTGATAAATACTTCATATATTTTCTATTGTTTCTCAGTAAACAAGGTCCCGCCGTGATGATTTTTTAACACGTGGTTTTATTATCCTATCGCTAACCAAAATATTAAAATAAAATATTTTATTAAAAGTAAAATAATAGATTTATACCATTTCCAATAACTTAATTATGTATAAGGAGTGCGCGTATTTTTAAGTTTACAATATGGAATGACGATCCAAATAGTTTTCAGAACAAAGCCATGAAGGGCTTCCTCTTTTACATTCCCAAGCTAAAATAATTTTATATCTATTTAATAGTCTAATAAACTACCACACGCTACCCATAAATAAGTTTAAATTGAAATACTTACTTATATTTATGTTCTGTGTCTATAACTAAAATTTCAGGGGGCATATATGGAATCCATTCGTTACGACGAGTGACCCAACTGCCATTTTTTCTAGTTTCTCCAAAATCACACAACTTAATTCTTGAAAAGTCACTTTTAAAAACCAAAATATTATCCAATTTTATATCTCTATGTACCAAATCATAACTATGGATGTATTGAATTGCAGAAACTAGCTAAATAAATTATAACACTTGAAAAAATTATAGAAGTTTAATATCTAATTTTAATATTAATCTGAATTTTTATTTTTATTTTTATTTTACAATAAGTAAACGACAAAAAAATCGTAAATCAACCTTATTACATTAATGATGTACATGACATTAATTAAAGACGAATTGAGAAATTTTGATCCACTGAGATTTTATACATTTATCAATCATTCAACTGATAAAAATTGATTAAATCATAATTTAAAGCTATATATAACTGATATTTTAGCTTCGATGCGAAGCTGATAAGGTATTAATTTTACTATGATGTGTTTTATTTTTTTTTGTGTCTGTTACCACTTTTTCTCAGCTCTTACCGAACGGATTTCTCTCAACGATACGTCAAAAGATCACAAATCGTATCTAATCGAAGACATTACCCTTCAAAATTGAAAAAATTTCCCTTGTTCCCCATAAATGGGGGAAACCTCCAAAAAAATTACAAATTTAAAAATCGCTAATTTTCGAAATTTTTTCAATTTTTTTTACTAAAAACTGCCGTAACTTTTTCAAAAATGAACATATCAATATAATTTTTTTTTATATAGATGCTTGATGTCTTTACCTATCATTTGGTATATTTTTTTTGTAAATCTGACACTTAACCTGCCCACAGGGGGGGATTTAAAATGACAACTTTTTCACAAAAAATTAACTTTTTCAACTTAACTTTTGAAAATGTTCCGGAAGGTCTGACACTTTTATATATATCTTAAATTAAAGCTAATGTAATTTACTTTATTATGCAAAAAAAAAATTTCGGACTTTATTTTGTCTTAACGGTGAAAATGGCTTTTTGTGTGAAAATTCTCGATTTTATTTTTCACATTTTTAACTTTATAATGCTATAACTTATTGAAAAGTGTATGGATCAACATAATTTTTTTATAAGAAATAATATTTTTAATAATCCCTTTTTCATTTGACATACTTTATCTTAAATAGGATATTAATAAGGAACTAGCAGATCATGTAGCATTTGGAATAATCCACCAATTTTTTAAAATTAAACACTATCTAAAGATTTGCATCGAAGNTTTTTTAAAATTAAAACACTATCTAAAGATTTGCATCGAAGCGTTTTTTTTGATAGTGATTTTAATCACTGTCAGATATCATTATACTTGATCCAAAAATAGCGATTTTTAAATTTGTAATTTTTTTGGAGGTTTCTCCCATTTACGGGGAACGAGGGAAAATTTTTCAATTTTTAAGGGTAATGTCTTTGATTAGATACGATTTGTGATCTTTTGACGTATCGTTGAGAGAAATCCGTTCGGTGAGAGCTGAGAAAAAGTGGTAACAATAAAAAAATAAAACACATCATAGTAAAACCAATACCTTCTCAGCTTCGCATCGAAGCTAAAATATCAGTTATATATAGTATTAAAGTACATTACATTAGCTTTAATTTAAGATATATATAAAAGTGTCAGACCTTCCGGAACATTTTCAAAAGTTAAGTTGAAAAAGTTAATTTTTTGTGAAAAAGTTGTTATTTTAAATCCCCCTCTGTGTGCAGAAAAAAGGTCAAATTTTCAAAAAGTTATAGCTTTGTAACCGAACACTTTCAAAAATTTAGTTGAAAAAGTTATTATTTTGAATCCCCACCTGTGAGCAGGTAAAGGGTCAGATTTTTAAAAAATATATACCAAATGATAGGTAAATACCTCATATATCTATATATAAAGGTATCTATCAATAAATTAAATTAAAAATATTAATTAAACTAAAAAAAAAATTAAAATGATTTGGTCATTTTTTAAAAAGTTATGGCAGTTTTAAGTAAAAAAATTGAAAAAAATTCGAAAATTAGCGATTTTTAAATTTGTAATTTTTTTGGAGGTTTCTCCCATTTATGGGGAACAAGGGAAATTTTTTCAATTTTGAAGGGTAATGTCTTCGACTAGATACGATTTGTGATCTTTTGACGTATCGTTGAAAGAAATCCGTTCGGTGAGAGCTGAGAAAAAGTGGTAACAGACACAAAAAAAAGAAACACATCATAGTAAAACCAATACCTTCTCAGCTTCGCATCGAAGCTAAAACAATTTTAGATAAAAATCAAAACTGGGCTCTATTTTACACACTCCCAGTCTACCCACTAATAAATTACTGTGACTTTGAAGATTTATACCTCGTATATTCTTGAAATACAAATAACTAATAACCTTGATGAAAGATTAGGGTGTATTATTAGGGTCTATTGTATTATTATAGAATAGTGAAAAATATTTTAGTAAATATTATATGTTTATCGTATTCTCTTATTAATGTACCTCTACAATGAATGCTTAGTATACTTATTATAATTTCATATTTTTAAAAATTATTATTATCGTTTTCTGTTGATTGTTTAAATTAAAATTATTTTTCTCAATATTTTCATGTTGTATAACAAGCTTAATGATTTACAATAATTAAATAGGTACTAAGCAATGTTTTGATATTCACTATCAACAAATATCAATATATTAATTGTTAATTAATTAAGTAAAGGACTTATTTTATTTTTACTACTATAAATTATTTACAATTAGTTTTTAAATAATGAATAACTAACCTGTTTTGCTACTGATTTACTGTGTAATTCACCTATTCCATTGTCCGATATATTAGATGTTAGATCACCTAGAGGTGCATACTCCTGAGCAAATACGTAAAAACTAGCTGTTTGAAAAGCTACATCAAACGTTGAAACAATATTACGATGGGCACTTAAATGGTAACTGTAATGAAATTCTCGATAAAAGTCTTTTACAGCCGTATAATTTTTTGGTAAAGATTTCAAAACCATTTCGTTGTCAGTTCCGCGATGTTCAACCAACAAAATTTTTCCAAACCAGCCTTCACCGACAATTTGAACAATATCAAAAGTTTCTACCAAATTTATCTAAAATATTTTTATAAAACTTAATTATTTAGTAAGATATTATTAAAAGAATTCTAAGAATAATTAAATTAATTATGTCATATAGTTATAGCTATATAGAGTGATGCATTTATTATAAAACACTTAGTTAATTATTACGTTCATTCAAGTTCATATAAAACTGTGATAAATATCATGACTATTTTCCATTTTATGAGTTATAAAACTAGTAAAAATAGGTTGTTGCTCTATTATTAAATATATCTAACATTAAGTAATAATAACATATCAATAGGCGACATTTATATAATATACAATATTTAAATAGTGTATATTATATAAGTGAAGCGTTCTTTGTACTAGAAAAATTTAGGAGGAATTTGTCCTATTCCCTTACAAAAAAAAAACCCAGCACAGTGGAGTCGCGGCATAGTGGGGACGTTGCATAGTTGGGTCCAGTATAGATTTAATCTGACAGTGATTAAAATCACTATCATAAGAAACGCTTCGATGCAAATCAGTAGATAGTGTTTAATTCTAAGAAATTGGTGGATAATTACAAAAGCTGCATGATCTGCTAGTTCCTTATTAATACCCTGATTAAGATAAAGAATGTCGAATAAAAATGGGATTATTAAAAAATATTATTTCTCATAAAAAAATTGTGTTGATTCATACATTTTTCAATGAGTTGTAGCATTATAAAGTTAAAAATGTAACCAACCCAACCCAACATCAACTCCTATTTCCATAATTATATCCAGATTAGTAATTCGTTTAATTATCTATTATATAATTTTTATAATTAATTATTTTCAAATTATTATCGATTTTTAATATATTAAAAGTAATCATTTTGAACCAACTTCTTTTTGTCCTTTAAAGTGAAAGTTT